GTGGATCATGGGGGGCTGCAGGGGAGCATGTGGGGCTGCAATGATGCCTTTGAGGGGTTGCAATGGTGCATGTGGGGCTGCAATGGTGCATGTGGGGCTGCAACAGTGCCCATGGGGGGCTGCAGAGGTGCATGTGGGGGTCTGCAGGGGACCATGTGGGGCTGTAATGATGCTCATGTGGGGCTGCAGAGGTGCATGTGGGGCTGCAACGGTGGTCGTGGGGTTGCAGCGGTGCATGTGGGGGTTCAATGGTGCATGTGGGGCTGCAATGATGCCCATGTGGGGCCGCAGGGGAGCATGTGGGCCTGCAATGATGCCCATGTGGGGCTGCAACGGTGGTCGTGGGGTTGCAGCGGTGCATGTGGGGCTGCAAGGGGTGCATGTGGGGCTGTAATGATGCCCATGGGGGGCTGCAGTGGTACATGTGGGGCTGCAATGGTGTCCTTGAGGGGTTGCAACGGTGCATGTGGGGCTGCAGGAGAGCATGTGGAGCTGCAACGGTGCATGTGGGGCTGCAATGATGCCCATGGGGGGCTGCAATGGTGCGTGTGGAGCTGCAATGGTGCCTATGGGGGGCTGCAATGGTGCATTTGGGGCTGCAATGGTGCATGTGGGGCTGCAATGATGCCCATGTGGGGCCGCAGGGGAGCATGTGGGGCTGCAACGATGCCCATGGGGGGCTGCAACGGTGCATGTGGGGCTGCAGAGGAGCATGTGGGGCTGCAACAGTGCCCGTGGGGGGCTGCACAGGAGCATGTGGAGCTGCAACGGTGCATATGGGGGGCTGCAATGATGCCCATGTGGGGCTGCAGGGGAGCATGTGGGGCTGTAATGATGCCCTTGAGGGGTTGCGATGGTGCATGTGGGGCTGCAATGATGCACGTTGGGGGCTGCAGGGGTGCATGTGGGGCTGCAACAGTGCATGTGGGGCTGCAGAGGAGCATGTGGGGCTGTAATGATGCCCATGGGGGGCTGCAGAGGTGCATGTGGGGCTGCAACAGTGCCTGTGGAGGGCTGCAATGGTGCATGTGGGGCTGCAG